CGTTTGAGCCTCGACAGATTTTACTTGTATCAGCCTCTCTACACGGCGGGTCTTCAGCGTTACAAGGCTGGATCTAATGACACGCCGGCCAAGAGTCTGTTACCTTGTCCCCTAGGTTATCGTGGTCTTGAACCACAGCGTAGCGACAAGGCCTACACTTCAAATAACGTTTCACTTTCCAAGCATCTACACCAGGAGACTTAAATACTTGTGCCTCCATATAATTTACTTGTAAAAAAAAGAACATTGTTTTTTACACGTATCTTATGTTTTATCATCTTATCATCAACATTAACATTCGAAGCGGTCCTTATCAGTAGTTTCGTAGACCAAAATAAAAATCGAAGGTTTTTCCTAAAATTGGTAAAAAAACGTAATATCTTTTAACTGATAACTATCTATTTTTTTTTTCAGATTCACCAGAGTTGCACATACAAAAATTACAAAAGATTCAAATCGTTATCACATGTGAATTCTAGTCATCTTTATCGGCATTTTTTTAATCTATTTATTTTTATTAATTTACTTATTTTACTTCTTGCCTATTAGATTACAAATATTTTCGTTCACAGATCTATCAGAGGAAATATTCCATCTGTTGGTTCATACACTTCAATTATTTACTTAATCTCAGAGAGTAAATAAACTTTTTAAACAGTGTGTATGAATCCTAAGGGCACATGTGATAATATTTATCAGTGGCATTCTTGGAAATACACCTCCGATTGTATTTATATAGTAAACTGCTTTGAAAGAGGGAACCAGTTTCAAGATTTCTGACAATTATAGCCTTGATTCAAGTTCATTGGTAAGTTGCCTTTTGAATTTAGCTTTGGATACTGCGTCCTAAGTGCTGATTGATATTATAATGCGAGTAGAGTGTATTTTATTATATCTAGAAAGGGCCCCAACTCCCCTTACGGTTTTCAATGAACATAAATTTTTAACATTTTATAGTAGAATACAGTAGAAAGTTTTTGTTAGATTTTATTTTCATGCGATTTGTTTTGTGCGATTTTTTCTGTGCAATTTTTTTTATGCGGTTTTTGAATTTTAAGGGCTTTGGCACCCTTATAATGTTTTCTATCAATGTACCAGTGGCGTATCGGAGAATGTTTGGGGACTCCTGCAAAGTCAGATTTTGCCACTAGAGTCTTGCTCCCCCTCCCCTCCGCGATGCAGAGGGGATGTACGTTACGCCCCTGCAATGTACATATATACACTTCAAGACGCTCTGTTCATTTCTTATAAAGAGTCTCCTGACAATGCACGTTCAGTGCCTTTCTCTCAACGTGCCCGTCACTTGACCATGGTTCAAAATTAAGAGGTCCGTCGCCAAAAGCTCTCGTGTAGCTGAACAGTGCAACGTTAACATTCACTCACTCACTCTCGCAACGTACCAACAGCCCGCTCTTGATAAAACACGAAACTTTCAATGACAATGATATCAATAATTTGATAGATTATGGGTGATAATACTGCAATATGGCTACCTTCATATTTTTATAGTTTAGTAAAGTAGTTGCATGGGGATAACGTATAATATAGTTAATTTTCATTGGGTTTTCCCCCGCAATTAATCTATTAATTTCAGACAATTTTAATTTAAAATTTATCCATTTTCATACCATTCCTTCAAGCTACTGCTTTAGTCTTCTGTTGTATTTTGTGTTATTTTTGAATAGGGATATTTCTAATATTATTGGTGAGTACCCCAGGATATTTTTTTGAAGAATATGAGAACTGTGCTTTTAATTATTACGGTCCTAAAATCCACTTTAGTCCATTTTGTTTTCTAAATGTAATGACTTTTTTCACTCTTTTTTTAATTAATATTTCACTGAATCGAATTCACAAACTTTCATAACATTCCTCAATCAATAATTATTATTTTTTCCAAGTAGTAATTTTCCCCCCGGTTTGATACATATACACTCAAGAGCCAAAACATTATCACCACCCTTACATTTTGCAATAAACGCGCTTGGATGACGTGGAAGGCACGTGATCATCTGGAAGTGGTATTTAACTGCTGCTGGAGAGTCTGAAGAATCATTCATTTACTTACTTCTGGATGTGATGGGAAAGGCTGCGGATCTAAGCGACTTTGATAGAGGGCATATTGTAATGGCTCGAAGGCTCGAAACAAGTATTTCCGAAACTGCACGACTCGTGGGTTGTTTGAGATCTATAGTTGTTAGTGCTTATACAAAGTGGATGAATGATGGTGAAACCAGCAGTAGACGACATGGTGTCGGACGTCCACACGTTATCAAAGAAAAAGGTCGTCGGAGACTGTCTCGCATGGTGAAGCAAAACTGGAGCCAGACAGTGGCTCAGTTGACAGCCCAATACAATGCAGGGCCAAGTAGAATAGTATCGGAGCACACTGTTCAGCGGACACTGTTGGATATAGGGCTACGCAGCAAACATCCCACTCGTGTGGCTTTGCTGACCAAGCGTCATCGCCAACTGCACCTGCGCTGGGCCCAGGAACATCGCGACTGGTCCATGGATCAGTGGGAGAGAGATGCCTGGTCAGATGAATCACGGATTGGTCATTCATCGCGCCGATGACCGTGTCAGGATACGCCATCTTCCAGACGAACAGTTGCTCCCTCAATGTACAGTAGATCCTACACAGGCCGGTGGTGGCGGTATTATATATTGGGGGACGTTCTCTTGGGCGTCTCTGGGACCCGTGGTTGTGGTAGAGCAGACCATGAATGCTACAGGATATCTGAACATCATTGCGGACCAGTTTCACCCTTGCAGGGACTCTGTTTTTCCAGCTGGAAATGGAATGTTCAAACAGGACAAAGCACTGTGTCATAAGGCTAAAATTGCGTTGGAGTGGTTCCAGGAACATGATGCTGAATTCCAGTTAATGTCCTGGCCGCCTAACTAACCGGATCTCAATCCGATAGAACACATTTAGAATGTCATGGGCGGCAGCTCAGAGTTCAAAGACCACCAATTCGCAATATCTCGGATTTGCGTGACTGTTGCTTAAACATCTGGTTCAATCTGTCTTCGGCCATCTATCAAGGACTTGTGGCATTCATGCCAAGGCGGGTTGAAGCTGGTTGCGCGTTAAAGGTGGGCCAACGCGTTATTGACAGATGATCATAATGTTTTGGCTCTTGAGTGTATATTTTTTTTAATTTTATCTTTTGAAAGAATGTATTTTCAATGTTTTACTTATTTTTACTACTTCCGCCGGTATTTCTAAATTCTTCATATTCCATTTTTTTATATATAAATTCTGGCATTCTTCTTTTTTGGGGCGGTTCTCCACCAAAATGTAAGTAAATTTTTAAGTATTTCATTCCTTTTATTTTTAGGCTATTTGTAGATTTCAAAAACTTTCGTCAGGAAAAAAAATTCTTTAAAATTAAGTTCCTGACGATTGTTACATATAGGCCGCTATATTCGATTCCATATCACTCGGCAACGTGCTGCTTCGTGCTATTTCTTAATCGCGCCAAGCAGCGTTGGGCGTGTAGCACTCCATTAAATTAATTCCAAATCATGTGGTCACCTTTCCTTAGAACCCTAGGGCAGAGGTCTTCAACCCGTTTCTTATTAAATCCTAGGGCTCCCCAGAACTTTAATACAGGCACCACAAGTGATCTCTATTAACTTAATCAAAGTACCAAAATTTATGTAAATTTTAGTTTTAATAAGAGATTGAATGCTTAAAAGCAGTTTGCTTGTAAAAATAAATATAAGTAAATTCGGCATATCGGGGTAAAATACAAGAATAAATTGAATGCTGAACATGAAATACGTTTCCAAATAATAACAATAGATCCCGCCTTTAAACTTTTGTTCAAAACAAAGCAGACTTATCCCAGGCTGAAATTAAAAATTTTTTCATATTTCAAAGATTTTTTTGTAATACTTTTTTAACTTAATATAGTAAAAGAATATACGTTAAATAAGAAGGTTCGCTAGTAAAGGACAGGGAACAACAAACGCATATTAGCAGATCAGCATATTTAAAGTTAAAATCTAACTTTAAGTAAGAACATACCTTAAATTTTATATTACAATTTCTTTCTCATAAATAATACACAGGATTTCTCAAACAGTTACGAGCATTTTAATACCATTCGGAACGATGTATTTAAGTGAAAAACGTTTCCCAACGTATGCGTTAACAAAAACAAAGCATAAGAAAATAAATTAGTCACAAAATATTAACTGCGACTGCAAATAATTTCAGTAGACCTAAATTTCGACATTTTGTGTGATGAAATCGCCAGCACATATCACAGTTACTAGATATAAGGCATGGTTAGGTAACACGTGGGGCACAACTTAATATTGTTAACGGGCAAAATTATATTAACATTATATTAATTTTTTTATTGCAATTATTATTTTAAGATATATTCTTAAAAAAAATGGATTGGGATTCCCCCAAAACACCTTAGGGGGGGGGGGGTCCACGAGTCGAAAATATTTGAAGACTATTGCTGTAGGAAAAAGAAATTTCCTTTTTTAAAGGAAAAAAATGCGCATAAATCCCATGTGGAAGAGCAATAAAACCTTTACTTGCATATTAATAGTAGGTATTCATTTTTTTCATAGTTAAAATCCTAAGACTTGGTTTTCGGATTTTGAAAACAAACTTTAAAAACAAAACAGATAAATTATAGTTTTAAAAAAACTAAGAAACACGCTTTTATAGTTAATCGAACTAAAAAGTAAAAAACAAGTAATATAAAAAAAAAAATTAAGTCAATTCCTACTTAGGTCATTAAAAAAAGTTTTAGTTACTTTTTACTAAATAATTACAATTAATAGAAATATGTATATACATATGACAGAATCACAATATATTAAGCGGTAAAAAATAGAGAGAAAGTTATTTTTCTTTCTATATGTGGAGTTGGCCTATTTCTTTGTTTAGTGATATTTTTATTCATTAATAAAATTTAATTATTCGAATAAAATAGTGTAGTTGGAAGAAATCACATTCCCAGATATTTGGTCATCTCAGGTGGAATGCGATCCCACGACCTTTGCATTAGAAGCTCAACAGGCAATCCATTGCGCTACAGGGACACAACGAGCGATTTTCTTTATGTGTGTATATATATATGTGGTGTTCGACTTTTATTTTTGATTGTTACTATTTATTCATTTAAATCAATGAATTAATATTTGAAAAAATATATATTAACATGAAGTGTCATCCACTACAAGTTTAAAAAAAAAGATCTTGAGCGAAGAATAAAATGCTTTTTGTTAAGGATTGAAAATATTTGTGAACACGATATATAAATATAGAGAGAGATTGTGAACTAAAAGTAGAAATTGAATAAATACATATAGGGAGAGTGTGAACTAATAGCAAGAATGGAATAATTCTTAATATAGGAATACAATCATTAACGAGAAAATTAATGTCAGTGGGGTAAAAGCATGGGGTGCTTTGTACTACATTTTTACACTAACTTTGCATTTCGGAATAGAACTAGTAAGAAATTATAACAATTGATATGGAGCAAACTAAGCTTTTATAACATTGACAATTCTTTTCTCTTGAATCATATGATTCTTAAAATAAGATTTACTTTTTAGTTCGATTCACTATAAAGCGTGTTTTTTAATTTTTTTTTAATCTATAACTTATTTTTCATTTTTTAGTTCGATCTACAATAAAAGTGGGTTTTTTTTTTTTAAGTTTATTAAACCATCATTTATTTATTGATGAATTAACCATTTTTGTATCAAACATGAGCATTTTCGCCTTAGGATTGTAACTTAATATTTTAGTTGCTAAATGCGAAATTAGTCATCGAATCTGGAAATGGGATCTGGAATGAGTCGCCTAATCAGCAAATCGGACATCATTAAAATCCTGATGATCCTGATCGGGACAATGGAACAAAATTATTAAATTATTGCATTGCAATCGGTCCTTGATAAGTGTGCAAAATTTCGAATTAATCTGACCTTTTAAAGTCAGTAAAAATTGAGTGTAAAGATTCCGTTGCATGCAGGTGAAGCTTATAAAAGCGTTTTAAAAAGAAAGAAAAGAAAAATAATTTAGTTTTCACTAAAGTTGCTCACATTTGAAATTTTAACCTAGGTTTTGGGTGACCTTCTGTTATAAACAGGATTAATATAACAATTTATTAATGTAAACCATCCTTATATAAGCACTTTTTTTTTAAACAAAAAACTCATTTTTCTAAATGCTTTCAAATAATCCCCTGGTATTTTATTTTCACTTGATTCACAATCGAAAAGTACAGCAATAGAAGACTTTAAAAGATGCTCCATTTTCATCGCTTAATTTTCCCGCGACACCGTGAATTATTTCCTATCAATTATCCAAGAGGGAAATACAACAGGAAATGTGTTATAAAAACATTATTCGTTTTTATCTGATACCTTGTATAATTGAGACACGTGCTCCTTCGAGTCGAAGATAAAATTTACGTTCTGCATTGTTGCGGAAGTCCAGCATTATTTCAGAAGTAAGTCTTTCTCCTTTTAAAATATTAATGAAAAAAGAACAAGTAAATTGTAATTAACGTTTGTTTTTCTCTAAACGAACAAATTAATGATTCTTTCGTTTGAGGATTGTTTTATTTAGAGAGTAGTTAAACTAGTAATAGATAAATATGTATCACATTTATGTACAAAGAGAAAATGGTGTGGTTAAATAGATCAAAGATTTAGAAACTTGGTTTGTAAAATACATGCTAAATCTATATCAGGGGTTCTTAAACTTTTCGAGGTGGTAATCCCATTTTGTGTACAAAATTATTGTGCAACTCCATAAGCATTGCGCAAAGTTTATACAGGCTTGGGTATTTCTATATGTGTTTTATTTGAAGCATATTATTGTTTTGCTGTAATAAACATCTGTAATAAGTTTTTACTTTTAATATAGTGATACAAAAATGTAAATTAAGTAACAAAATAAAAAAAACATTGTGTAATGCAACTACGTGTTATGTTATGTAATAAATTATACATAAACTGTAATCTGTTTATTAACAATGGTATATGCAAGATTTAAGTATCAAAGGGAAAGATGTGTTTGATTATTTTTATTAAATTATTAAATCTTGGAATAATTGTCGACACTAAGTCGATTCTTTAAATTTGATGGATATTCCAGTAAAAGTCTACATAAACAAGTAAATTATTTATTGCCTTTCTCCGGTAAGTATTTAAATAAACAATTAAATTTTTATTATTAATAATGAGTGAAAATTAACGTCACACTATTCAGCTACACGATGACTTTTGGTGACGGACCTTGACATTTTGAACCATAGTCCCGTGACGAGGACGAGACCTCAGCTGGATCCCCCTCTCCTAACTTCCACACCACACCAATGAGAGAACGTTTGAGCCTCGACATATTTAACATGCATCGGTCCCCTGTGCAAGGTACTAGGCTCGAACTCATGACACACCAGCCACGAGTCCAATATTTTGACCACTAGGTAACGGACTTGTGGCTACCGTGGCAACATTATTAGTAGCGAACAAGTTATTTTATGCAAAAATATGTATCCAAAATCCTAAAATTTTTGGTGACCCCAGCTTCAAGTCACGCTACCCTATTTGGGGTCGCGCCCCCTAGTTTAAGAAGCACTGACCTCTGAAATGGGAAAACACAGCAATATTCTATGCAGATAATAAAAAATATAATAGAATAATATTAAGAATTCTCATAAGGATCGTTCAGTATTGGGATATTGATCATATGTAAATTTTTTTTAAAAAAAATTACAATACTCTATATTATTGCTGAAAATGATCTCATCAATGAGCTTAATAAAAATATAAAAATAATGAAGGGAAATGAAACTAAATAATTTCTTTTTTAAAATACAAGAAGTTTTATAAAAAAGTGAAAGTTTTGAAGTTATCATTGCTGAAATGTACAAAAATAAAAATGATTCTCAGGCCTTATTATGTAATTAGAATTTTTTCATTTGTGTGTCATAAGATTGAAAACTATTTAAAGATAAATATTCTTATTTCCATCTCATAACATTAGATATATAATACAAATGATATTTTGAAAATGTATTTAAAGAAAACATACTTCATATACAAAAAAAAAAAAAAAAAAAAAAAAAAAAAAAAATACTTCTTGCATATACCGGGTGGTCTAAAATTCTTATTTATCTCATAACATTAGATATATAATACAAATGATATTTTGAAAATGTATTTAAAGAAAACATACTTCTTGCATATACCGGGTGGTCTAAAATTCTTATTTATCTCATAATATTAGATATATAATACAAATGATATTGCATCTTTTGAAAATGTATTTAAAGAAAACATACTTCTTGCATATACCGGGTGGTCTAAAATTCTTATTTATCTCATAATATTAGATATATAATACAAATGATATTGCATCTTTTGAAAATGTATTTAAAGAAACATACTTCTTGCATATACCGGTAATCTAAAAAAAAAAAAAAAAAAAAAAAAAAAACTTCTTATATGTGGTCTAAAATTCTTATTTATCTCATAATATTAGATATATAATACAAATGATATTGCATCTTTTGAAAATGTATTTAAAGAAAACATACTTCTTGCATATACCGGGTGGTCTAAAATTCTTATTTATCTCATAATATTAGATATATAATACAAATGATATTGCATCTTTTGAAAATGTATTTAAAGAAAACATACTTCTTGCATATACCGGGTGGTCTAAAATTCTTATTTATCTCATAATATTAGATATATAATACAAATGATATTGCATCTTTTGAAAATGTATTTAAAGAAAACATACTTCTTGCATATACCGGGTGGTCTAAAATTCTTATTTATCTCATAATATTAGGTATATAATATAAATGATATTGCATCTTTTGAAAATGTATTTAAAGGAAACATACTTCTTGCATATACCGGGTGGTCTAAAATTCATGGTACAAACTTTAAGGGTGGGTATAGGACATTGTAACCAGGGGAGTAGCTATCCCCGTATCAATTATACGGGCCCCCCAAGCTATAGGGCCCCAACATGTGTAACTACAGTCCCATTAACAGGGCTCCCATATCTAAAAAACCTCATCTCTAGTCATCCCCCATATATCTTTAACAGCTCAATGATATGTTGATACCATCGTGCGGCTTCATAGCCCGTCCTCCGGGGGCCAGTTACCAACAAAGTAATTTCAGGCCTCATACCGCTCGCATATCCACCTTCGTGCCTTTAATACTCTTCCTTCGACATCCCGGTCACCAGACCTTTCACCAATCAAACATGTGTGGAACATTGTAGGGCGCCAGATTCGGGCACCCCAAGATCTGGAGCAACAATTGGTGAGTACCTGGCTGAATGTATCGCAGGATGACATTACGAATCTCTATCACTCTTTACCGAGACGCATGTATCAATGACAGGGGCCGCCAACTACTGATTGGAATATTCAAGCTCTAATCGTGGATGGGCCCTATAGCATTGATGTTATTATGTTATTATCTGTGTATGAGCTGTACGCATATTTAATTTCATTAAAAACAACTACTTCTTTCATGTAATGCTTCGTGTTTTTTTTCGCAAAATAGTGCATATAGATTGCAGTCATACTAATTGCTATGTTTTGTGTGCAATAATTACTAATAATGAGTAACCCATTTGTTTTTCTCGCACATTTCAGGTTTAAATCATCACAATGATCATTCCGGCGATTGTCGCGGCCATTGCCCTGGGCTTTGCTTTTGACATGACGAACTTCCATCCCAGGTCAATTTCCATTTATGATTCCGCAGATATTAAATCGAAACTTCAGGTATATATTTTTTCTCGTTTTCCTTTTAGAATATATTTTTGAAAGAAACCCATAAGGCTATGGTTTTTCTTCTAATACAAATGCGTTCCTTTTTTTAAGGGAACTATTTAAAATTTTATAAATAATCGAAAATTATAGTTCTTTCAATAGAAAGTGAAATCTTTTCCATATAGGGGATATTTATTCAATTTATACTTTCAAATATGCCATAGATCTCAGGATAGATGAAGTCAATCGTTATCCTTGAGATAAAAAGAAGAAAAAGCC